ATCTTGCTAGGCAGAGGTGAGACTGGCCAGCCTGTAGTTCCCTGGGTCTTCCTTTTCCCCTTTTTTAAAAATAGGAGCTATGTTACCTTTTTTCCAGTCAACGGGAACCTCACCAGACCACCATGACCTCTTACCTATGACGGACAGAGGCTTAGCAACTGCATTCACCAGCTTCCTCAGGGCCTGCAGATGGACCCCATCAGGTCTCACAGACTTGTGCATCTTCAGGTTTAGATGGTCACAAACCGATTCTTCTCCTACATTGGAGGGCACTTTTTTCTTCCAATCCCTGCTTTCACCTGCTGTGGCCTTTGCAATGAGGCTGGAGCACTTGTCAGAGAAGACTGATCAAAGTCAGTCATAACTTAGTATCCCCCTGATCCATTCTCCAGGACAGGGACATGGTCATCAGTGCCTCAAGCTTCAGCCTGACACCTTGTCCCTTTAAAAGTCTTCAGCTTGGAGGTATTTATGCCACGTGAGTAAGAAAACAGGAGGCTGTTTTCATAGGCAGGATTAAGGCATAGCTTATTTAGCCTAGCAAACCATGGAGACAGGGTGCTGTCCTCTTATGGCACAGGGAATAGCATTACTTGTGATAAAATTGAGTGTATGGGTACTCCAGAACATGGAAAAGTGACCAGCCTCAGGATTTCACGCCTTATTTCAGAAAACTAGTTTGTACTACCACACTATCTGCTCTGTTTCCCACCAGGAGTCTGCCATCTCACTTTCACTGAAAATCAGATACATGCAAAAAGTTTAGGAGGGTTTTTTTTGTCACCAAACCTTTGTGCCTGCAGAGTCCACAGTCACAGGGAGCTGAGTTGACAGCTGAGCATTTCTAACCACACAAATGCAAAACCAACCAGAAAAAGGCATTTCTAAGGACGGTGTGGAAATAGACTACCATATGGGGAAGAGCAGACATGTTGCACCAGCTGAAAACCTGGAGGTTTTCCAGGTCTGGCTCCACTTTGCTGGCCAAGTGTTGCAAGATGGAAAACCCACTAGTCAGAGCAAGGGTGCCGGGTTGCGAAGTGGAACAGCCAGGCTGTCAGCAGAGCAGGTTTCCTTCTTCTTAGAGCTCTGTGCTTTTCTGCACTGCACCATGAAGAGGTATTTCTGCTCCCCTTTCCATTCTGCAAACTCAAACTCTCTGCTCAATCGGTATCACTGTGATCACTTAAAGGACTGCAGATTGGCTTTAATTACAGGCTCCTGAATGCAGCTGGGTGGTTTTCCCTGCACCACTATCCAGCCATGCTAGACCATCTTTTGCATGCTATTGAAGCATGGGTTTTAATGGACTGAAACATCCCCAGTCCTGTGGAAGAAACATAGAAAAGTGTATTTTAACAAAGTGCAGTACATGATTTTTAGACTGAAACCAGTCTTCATGCAGCCATCAGATCAGAGACAGAGATACTGCCAACATGTTCAACAAAGATTCTCCAGGAACTATAATCTCTGTACACCAGATCAGTTTTAATTCATTGTCCACACTAGCTTATAGAACCACAGAATGGTTTGGGTTGGAAGGGTCCTTAAAGATCAACTAGTTCAAATCCCCTCTGCATTGGCAAGGATGCCTCCCAATAGACCAGGTTGCTCCAAACCCCATCCAACCTGCTCTTCCAGGGAGGGTCAGCCACAGCTTCCCCAGGCAACCTGTTCCAGCATCTCACCACCCACACAAGAAAGAATTTATTCCTGACATATAATATAAATCTAACCTATTTCAGTTTTAAATGGTTACCCTGCATCTCTTTGGAAACTGTGAACTTATCCATTAAGCCATCAATAGTCATAAGTTATTTTGCCTTTACCTCATTTGTATTTACATACCAACTTAAAATAATCCAATAATTTTTCCAAATACCTTTGTAGGATCTCCACTTATAATGACTGTTACATTCTTAAAATCCTACTTTTCAAAGCAATGTAGTTCATAAATTCAGTATCTGAATGGAGATGTTTTCAAAACATATACAAAACAGTTTTTTGCTGTTATAATTGTCTTTTCTGGAGAGCAGTCAATGAAGTACATTTTCAAAGAAGTCCTAGCATAATTTCCGCTTACCAGAGAAATTTCCTTGGGGAGTCTTCAGTTGAGAAATAACAGAATAAAAATAGGACTGCAGTAAGGTGTCTGAATAAGAGTTTCAATACACAGCCACTTGCAGACACTCCCTTTTTAGACAGTACATTAAACAGTAGTCAAAGAAAATGTATGTATTCAGATTTGGATTGTCACCCAGATACCTGCTGGGAATTTCAAAAAGGAAAAGCCAACATGACTTTGTTGCAGACCTCACTCACATGCAAACAGTACCAGGTGTTTGTAGAAATCCCACAAGGAATACTTTCTGTAGTTTTATCCATGTGTTTGTTGTAATGGCAGAATTGCTTGTTGACCACACCAAAGGTGTATAGAGACTATAAAAACCACACTGAACTGTAAAAAAAAACTGATTTGTAAAAAATATGTTGAACAGTGAACTTCTTTGCTTGAGGGCTATCATACTGACCCTCATTTGTCATTTTATTATTTTAGTGGCACCCAGAGTTTCCGAGGCATTTCTCTGGAGAGATTATTGTTGGACAAGTTCATAGAATAATGCGAGGCAAAAAGACACCAGCACAGAATGAAGCAGGAAGGAACCTGAAAGACTTGACCAGCACCCTAAAGCATTATCACAAATGGCCACAGGATATTTGATTTTGGAGAGCTCCCCAAAATGTCCACTCTGTTAAGTTCTGCCTGCTG